ATGCAATCCAATGTGATTTTACAGAAATTGCTCCTAGAAAATATTTTGTACAGACTGAACAAGGAAGAAAAATCTCAAATATATGAAAACAAAATAAAAATGTAGATAAAGCATTTGATACAGTGCATATAATAGGCTTAGAACATGAAACTTACTGTTACAAGAAAGTAGGTACATATACTCTCCTATGGGTTAGCACCGTGTATAGTCTGAGCTCAGAAGTTGGCATGGGAAACATTGTTGTGCCCTCCTTGAAATCACTTCTATTCCTAGAACCCAAATGTTTTCATTCCTGGCACACCATAAATTAGGACATTATTGCGTTGCGTAACCACAGTTCAAGTTCAGTTGAGATTCCTTCATTGCAAGCATCCACCATTGGGGGAGGGTTATGGGAGGGTTGGGGGGAGTCCCAGTACGTATAAAACTGTATCAGACAATGCAATGTTATTAACAATAAAAAGTATATTCAGTGAAATAATAATGGGAAAAAAAAGAACATTATTGAAGGATAAGAAACAGCTCCAATACCGTTGGTCCCCGGTTAAATAAGGGTGATAATCTCTTACCAGTAGATAGGATCCAGCAAAATTCTTGCCTCTTCACTTCAAAATTATAACATGCCTTATGCATAATAAGGTCTCATGAGTAGCCTGTCTGAAACCGAAATTACGAATGTGCACGGATCCGTCCATTATTGAAAACGCCACACTGGTTTCAGATGTCTCTTTGGTTGGCCTTCCAAAATCCACACAGTAAATTGACCAAGGCCATTTACAAGATAAAAGATGAAAACATTTCCAACATGCTGCTTTGATCTGTCAGGTTTTAAATGGCAGGTTTTGTGTTTAAAAACACATTTGTGATTTAAGGATACTTATGATGAGTTTGCAATCTTAGTAATTTTTTCCCATGAAGAATTTAATCTCTGCTTCATGACATGGGGTTATAGGAAATATTTTCCTTATTCTGTACAGAAACATAAAAGCTGTAGAATAAGTAATTGGGGCCCAACTATAGTTAAGCTTACTGAAAATCCTGGATGACAGACTATAGGGTGATAGAAATAAAGACTTTGTAAGAGTTCAAGCTCTATATCAAAGAAATCTGGACTGTGCTAGGTGAGGGTGAGGATCATAACTGGCTTTGCTTTCTTTTTTATTTTTTAAAGTTTTATTTATTCATTTGTGGAAAGGTAGATTTACAGAGAGATGCGGAAATGCAGAAAGATCTACCCTTCATTGATTCACTCCTCAAGTGGCTGCAACAGTTAGAGCTGAGCTGATTCAAAGCCAGGAGCTAGGAGCTTCTTCCAGATCCCCCATGCAGGTGCAAGATCCCCAAGGCTTTGGGCCGTCCTCACCTGCTTTCCCAGGCCACAAGCAGGGAGCTAGATGGGAAGTGGAGCAGCATGGACTCAAACTGGTGACCATATGGAATCCCGGTGCATTCAAGGCAAGGATTTAGCCACTGAGACGTAGTGCAGGGCCCTGCCTGATTGTTTTCTTGGAGGCTGTCAATATTGCCAGCCTGCTTCAATCAGCAGTGTCCTGTGGAGCACTTGCCTACAGTGAGTGCGATACTGTGCTAACACACAGAAAGAAACAGCCTGGCTTCTATCAGAAAGCCACGTGCTAGCAAATATGCTGTTATAATGTTTTATTTCCTTTCAAAAGAAGCAAGTAGTGATAGTTTGAATAAACAGATTGACTAAAAAAGACTGAATAAACAGATTATTATATTTTTAAAATGACAATATTCTATCTTCAAGATTAATCTCAGTATTACATTTCACAAGCAACTCAAACCATTCTTACACTAATTCATTTTTTTTTTTCTGAGAATTATGCCTGCTTATCCTGTATCTTTTCCAACCATATTGTTCCCAAAATGTAGTACTCTGAGATGGGCAGATTTTTACAGCTCCTGCAAAGGACAAGCCTGTTCCTTGCCTCCTCTGTGTGGGATGGTTTTGGTTTGACTTGGCTTTCCTTAGAGCTCATGTGTCATTTCCTCGTGTGAGCGCCTCTGATCACCCAAATTCAGCCCTTTCTCACACCACTCAGGCTGCTTGTTGAAAAGCTGTCCACATAATGCTGACTTATACACTGAGAATATGTTCAGTGCCTTGTTAGTTTTCAATATAAGAAGGTAATCAATAAGATATTTGCATTTTCCTCAGTGCTATTATGTGTAAAATTGTAGTTCACGAAGCCAACAAATATGCTAGTATTTTTTTTCTGATAGGAGTATGTTTTTATTGATGTTTTCAGAGGAGATATTTTAATGTCTTATTTAACTCGTTAATTAAAATTAATTATATATCAGAATTAAAATATGTTAGGATTTCCCCCTAAATTTCAGGATGCAAATATAGCATTTTCTCTTAATTCTAGAAGCAATGAAGTATTGGAGCTTAATGATTAGTTATCTTAAATACTACTTTATGCCTATTGTGCATTTTTTAAAATTCTAACTAAATAATGATCTTTTAAATAATTTAGCAAAATTGAAACTGAAATAAGCTGTAATTTTACATTTTAAAAATTTTAACATTTTAGTGTATATCATAAATACATTTATTTAGCAATTGGTATGCGTTAAATCTGTGAATAGTAAAACTTATGCCGTTTTTTATTTTTTGTATTGTTAAAGTAATTTCTTATTGCATTCTGTTTTAAGATCTAGGGTCCATGTATTCATGCCATCTGTTACTTATTATTAACCTTAGTTCTCCCTGTTATCGGCTGTTGGAGGTTAAATCAATTTATTTGATTTTGCAGTTACTTTAAAAGACTATAATTTCCTAAAACTTTGATAGCACATCATGTTTGTCCTGGTCACTTACACAAAGTTGCGCTTTCATTCCTAAGTAAGTTGCAGACTTTTTGTTTTACCCTGATTATTTTCATTCTCTAAGTGATGCAATGATAGAACTTTAAACATTAACTATAACAATTAAAATAATATCCTGTTTAAATTGGATGGTGAGATTCTATTCTTATCATTTCCCCAAACAGCCATGCCATAAGTCAGTTGACATCATCTAAAATATGGTCCCTTAGTTAATCATCCTTACTTGGTAAATGGGATCTGGGGCTAGGAGCCTGATTTTAGTTTTTGTGTCTTTTAGAGGCGAGAGCATCTCTTCTGTTTGGAGCTGAAATATTTTATGCAATAATTACATACTTATGGGTTTATGAAAATGTAATTCTTGCTATTTTACATAAAATTTTATTTTTAAAAGCCTCGCTTTTTAGTATTTTTAAAAATTTAACCATCATGGAAGCATAGTGGTACATTATGGTATATTTTAATATTATTAAATACCAAAGAAGGCATTGCTGCCAAGCCATTAAAAATAATCTAGAAACAAGCAACTCATAGTGCTCATATTTAAATATATTTTAATGCTTTCTGTTTTAACCATATTAGGTATTTTACAGTGAATGTTGATAATTCTCACTCAGTCTTTATACCACTACAGGGTGATTAGGGCTGATACTTCCTAGTAATTTTACTATTAAAAAAATGTAGTAACAGAAAAAAATGTACAAATGTTTTATGCAGAATCAGTCTATAGAAAGCCATTACTAAACTGTAAGTTGTTGCATTGTGAAGAGTCACTTCACTGTATAGATATGTACATTATGAATTTTTTTGACATTTACATACACAAATGTTCAAATATTTGAGAGAAAATGCATTGATTTTTTGAAATTCTGTTTCCACCTTGTTTACCTTCAGTGCGTTACATTTACAAGTGCTGTCCAATCAATTTGATTAATTTTTCTTCTCATCAACATTATGATTAAGACATAATTTATCCATGCTGTGGAGGCAAAGTTACTGAGACATACCCAGCGAAGAATAGTGAAGTCAGACTTATAGAGTTAGGATTAGAATTTGGTGCCAAATAAGCCACAATTCATCTTTACTTACAATATGCAGAATAATTATAAATCAACTTTGTCACAAAAGCAAATACTGAAACGGCAAAAGTCTAGAAAATAAACTGATTTGATATTGCCTCTTCAAAACAGACACATAAAGAAATAATCAGAAGAAAAGCAAGTCGTTGAAATCGGCACTTCTGGAGGTGTTGTTTTGGTCACTAGTAAAGATAAAAGTCTCCCCAAGTGGATTTTACAGGTGCCTTTGAGTGAGACATAGGATGAAATAGGGGTGGGCAAACTTTTCCTAGATAAAAACTAGCATAATCTTTGTTGGGCGTGTGGTTGCTTTGCCATTCACATGGAAGCACTGCTAGGCAATATTTGAAGAAATGAACATGGCTGTGATTTAATACAACTTTATTAATGAGACTGAAATTTGAATTTTCTATTATGTCACTATGTTAAATATAATACTACGTGATTTCCTCCCGGAACTAAATAAAATGTGTTCATTGTGGGGCGTACTAGCCTCTGCCGTTTAATGCTAAGCCTACATTTTGTGCTGGAAATCAAGTCAGCCACTGCGTCTTTTGTGTTTGATTTTGTTTTATAGAACTGTGATCATGGAATATAGACTGCATTGCATTCACTTCTTACGACCTGCAGTGTCAAATGTAGCACAGCATGCCTTTAACTTTTTCTTCCCCAGATAAAGGAATGAGTTCAGTGAGTATGTGAAAACTGTCAAGGTAAAATTTACTCCAAAATGGCTTTGCGTCTTCTCAGCCGGAAATGCTCCTCACTTCAGAGTGGAGATTACTGACAAAAAAAGTTACCAGTTTTCGCTTGACATACTTCTTTGATAAATGTTGTGCATGTGGCCCTGGAGACAGTGATGTGAATCAAGGAAAAGGCATATTTCTTGTGGGTGTGGATTATTCCAGTGTTGCTGTTGGTAACTTTTGAAACAAAAATGTTTTCTGTAAGATCACGTAACTAGACAGAGCCGTGGACCTTTCCCAGTGAGGGCTCATTTGCCGGATGCCTTTGCTTTTGGCAGTTACAACTGCTACATGTTGCATCTCTATTGTTCTCTGTGTTTAGCTGGAGAGATTGCAGGCTGAAAATACTTTGGAGTGGGACAAGCGAGAAATAATTGAAATGGAAAAACAAGGACCGGAGAGAGAAAATAGAAGGCTAAAGGTCCAGGTGAATGAAATGGAAGAGCTGCCGGTCGGGAAATGCAGAGCGAGTTCCAATTCTCAAGGCCCTGATTTCAACACATCACAAATTGAACCTCCAGAAAAAGGCAAGGTAAGACTGCCCCATGCGGAGCACTCGTTCTCTCACTGTCTTCCCTTGTCCAGGGCCCCATCGGGCACAGCCTTCACTTTCACAGATTTCCACATCTGAATCTTCCTTTTGTGTCAAGCTAACATTGAATAACTACAGCTTTTCCCATTGTGATATAAAGTAATGTTTGTGTATCTGAAGCAGAGTGTGATATTAGGAACTGACAGATCTTCGGACACTTTCTTTTGAGAAGTTAAAAAAGGGGTGAACCGTGTCTTCGTATTTGTTGTTGCTGCTGTTTTCAGTGATAGACCTTTTTTCTCCGCATGTCTGAGCTATGGACCTGTTAGTGTATTTCTCCCTTGGTTTGAGTAATTGTACAATAAGCTTTTGCAGTAGTTCTGGTGATTATCTGCTGCAACTTTTATATCAAGCTAAAGCGAATTGTTGCCCGATGCTCTCTAGATAGTCTTACAACACTTATTTCTGAGTAAAAAAAATGTGAGATTGGCAAGTAGCTTTTGGAGATCAGAGATAAATATTAAAAAATCAAAATGCAATGCAAAATTTGACCTCAGGAAACTTGTTTTGAATGTTCTCTTTTTATTTTCTTAAATAAGGAAAACCAAATTTATTTACTTGCAGATTACAGAGGGGCAGGGAATTCTATAGCTGCTGGTTCACGCGCTGGTGACCACAAAGGCTGGAGCTGGGGCAGTCTGGTATTTTTTTCTGGTTGTCATGTGAGTGGCAGTGGAAGATGGCCTCAATACATTTAGGTCGATGTTGGCCATCCCACCTTTCCTTCCCCTTTCTCCCTCCTCTATATATATCTGTTTGTTTTGTATTTTTCATGAATGTTACCTTATATCAGAGAGAATATGTGTTAGTAGCATGGGAAATGTGAATTAACCTAGAGATTATGTGGTATTATTTCAAAAGACATGATCATATTTCTGAATGACTGCACCGTTAGTATCCTTTAACTTCTACCAGAAATCTCAAATTTTCTCTTGTGAACTAGTTTCTATTACTAACTTGGAATCCAGGGTTCAACAATTGCATTTGAGGTACTTTATTTTAAATGTATGGGTTTAATGTACAAATGAATGAGCCATAGTTCTATTAAAATGCAGATTCTCATACAATAGGTCCAGAATATGGCCTAGGGAATGGAATGTGTTTAAGGTCCCTGGTATCGGCAATAATTTTATTTAAAGTATACCTCTGAGCAAGGAGGCACTGGGGAACCGCACAGAACGGGGGGCGAGGCCTGGTGAACATACCAAGTTGCTCAATAGAAGAATAAATAAGGAAATGTTTATCCCCCAAAGAGAAAATCCTTTACTTCTACTGGGATTGCTTTTGTGCATTTTTTGCATGCCTTCTGATTCTATGCTTTTAAATGGATTCTCAGTATGCCCATGCCTTCCCGCTTTGTATATGTGCCCATGGTTTCTGCTGTCCTTTTTTTCCCCCTCATTTATTGGAGAGGGAAGGTCTTCTTGATACTCACAGGGTGTGTGGCTACCATGGCTGTGGCCGTGAACTGAACAGACACTATTTCTCATAAACAATTCGCTTTGATCACCCTCGGTCCATGAACCAGCCTCTCAGATAGTGTTTCCTGCAAATGGACGGACAGCTTCCAGACGTCAATGCAAGATGCTCTTTCCTCTGATTCTTTTCTGATTCAGTGGATTGAGTTGAGGTTTGAGGTTTTATATTTTATATTGTGGATGACACTGGTCTTTCTGTAGGGGACTATGCTATGGTCCTTATAAATGTTTTATTGCACTTCCCTATTTCATTTCTGCTTTAATACCAAAGTCATTTTCTTTCTTTTATTTCTGCTCTGTGTAACATCTTAGTCCCCTGAAATACTTCATGTTTTCTAGCACCATAAGACCTTTGCATAAGCTGCTCTTGCAGAAAAGCAGTTCATTTTCTCTGTTGATTTAGTTCATCTGCAGATTTTTCTGAAATAATCGAACTCATGTAGCTCTGAGCTTAAGCCAACAATGAACATAAATACATGTACATGTTTAAGAAGTATCAAATTTGAAGAATAGTGTAGCTTTTCTGGTTTCTCTTTGTCCTAAATGTCATTGTAGTTACTTTGAACTGTCGTCTTGATTTAACAGCCCGTTTTGTCATATGCCCCTTTTCCTAAATATGAAACTGATAGTTATCAATTATGAAGAGGTTTTGTCCATATTCATCTCCCAGTCACATATAATAGGATACAGTTCAGGTGGTCACATGGAACATGCAGCACACATAGTAATAATGTGGCTGTTCTAGGTTACAAGAGGAACGGTTTCATCTCTTTTATTAAACAAATGCATTCCTACAATATAATCTCTTTTCAGCAGTTTGGCCTTCAAAAAATTCAAAGCATGATTTTTTTAAATTAAGTTTTTTTTAAGTAGATGCAAGTAGTAAATTGTGTTTCAATTGTAATAGTAGAATATTAAAGGTGAATTAGTTCACAAATAGGTATTTAGAGAGGGGACAGTACTGATAAGTTGGTTATGAGCAGATGTCAAATAACATACTGTAAGGACATTGATCATGGGAGTCTAAGAGAAAATTGCAATTGAAGAAAAATACATCTGTCCAGGGTGTGGAAAAAAGAAAAACAAAACTTAGGTTCCTCACCGGGTGTGAACTCTTTCTGTGGTCCCATCCTTCCCTCCCTTGTTCACTGTGAGCCATCAGGATAGAGAAGATGATGAAATGTGGCATCTATGCCCAATATAAAGGGAGAAGAAGAGCAACACACGAATAGACAGACACACACAACTGAATTGTTTTTATTTCATCCAAGTGGAGAAAGATGTAACTTCAAGTGCAGTCATTATTTTTATGTAATATCTGAGAATATATGCTGACATGTTTTTTTTTTTTAAGTGTATGGCATAGATTCTTGCATTTGCAGTAATTTAGTTCTTCCACTCACAGGTAATTTCTGTGTATAATTTCCACTGTCACTCGTACTTTTATAAATGATTAGTTTTCTCTTGGTAAAAGCCCTGTGAAACAGTCAACACGTTTCTTGCAGGGAATCTTGGAAGCTTGTTTTCCTAAATCATTTTAGCAACTGTCTTCCTTCATTCAGGTCACATAATGGGTCGCTTCAGAAAGTTAATGTGGCAAGGTGGTAATTGATGTGCCTCAGGAAAAGGATGAATTAATCTAGAAGTTGAAAGGCCATCCAAGTCAATTCTTAATGAATTTGCATTACCGACAAAGGTCCAGACCCCAAGTCAGGCATTGCATTTATTTTGTTTAGCAACTTTGGTTCCCAAATACTTTATTTTCACTTAGTGACATGACAGTTTTCTTGCAGTTAATTTTGAAAAATAAAATTAGTAATTCAAAACTAAACACCAATCACTTAAATATCAGAATTATATTTAATATTTAATATATTTAATATAAATATATTATTATATATATTATATTCATTTAATATAAACTAAACACTTCATATTCTTTAACTCATATAAATTTTGTACCTGAGGTCTTCTAATTTTTTTACTGTAGCTATCAAACATTTTACAGACTCTGGAAATACTCAAGTCTTTGTGTATAAAATGCTGTATTTTTATCATAAAAATGAAAACCGCCTATTTTACTATTTATTAAGAATGGAAAACATCCAAAGAATGTATTATTTGCAGATAAACGTTAGGTTCCACATGAGTGTTTCTGTGAATGAGTTGCATAGAACTGAAGCACATTTGTGATTTTGTACACACTTTAGCAAGGGGGAATGGAAGGGTGTGGATTGAGTAAGACAATGTTCATTACTCAAGAATTCCTTACAAAAATAAAAAGAATTTCTATTCAGCAGAGGCAAAGAGTCGTGGCCTGAAAGCACTATTCATTAATGCTTAAGGAAAGCGGCTACTGAGATTTCCATAGTAGATTGAGATGATCTATGTACTAGAAACAGTGGGATTTCTCCTAGTGTATGATTACTTTTGCACACTACCAAATACACCAGAAAAACTTAGAAATTTAATGCCAATGTGTAAGTTCCTTCTATTCTATGATTTTCTGTAAAAGCAGAGGCACATTAATAAGATTTTGTGCATCTGAAAGATAAATACTAGAAATGATGTTAGGTAAGGTTTCGATTTCTTTTAAGCTGATGCTGTCATGTTATGTTAGCTTTGGATATTAAATCTGAAATTGTTGTGCTTGGCACATATTCCCATATTTGTGTCAAATGTATATGAAAATGTACAGTTCTTGCTATTGAAATTTGATCTCTAATTGCTTTTCAGCAAAGCAAATGTCAGAGTGTTACAGGTGTGAAAGACTATAAGAAATGTATGTTAAAGTCTCTTGAGGTCATAAAGATACAACTTATTTAAGTCATTTTTACTTTATAGTGCAAAAATTACATGTAATTTTATAACAGATTATACTCAGATATGAAATTATCTTTTTGATTTTTATTAAACTAGCATACTAATGATCCGTGGTATTAATAGAAAGTTGACAGTTCAAATAGCAGTTACAGAAGAATGACGGGAACAATGATATATTATTCCAAAAGACAACACACCATGGTTATAATAATTCTCAGAAATTAAAACAAAATTTCAGTTACAACCTTGTGAAATTTCAGTTACAACCTTGTGAAATTGCAGTTACAACCTTGTGAAGAATGAAAACTCAGGTAGCAAACAGGACAGAGGCGTTCACCGTTTCGTTTTTGTTCAAGTGCAGTCGCTTGCTGACTTATTGTGTCTGATGAATTCCCGAGAGTGTGATGGCAGACTTGTTTTCAATCTCTGAGGAGTCTCCAGACTGTCCTCTGTCGCAGCGGTACTAGCTTATTATGCCATCTTCACTGTAACCTCAGCAGTGTTGATTTGGGGTGGTAGTCGTTCAAACTGGGCTGAGGTGACATCTCCTGGTCATTTTATTTGTGTTTTCCTGGTACCTGGTGATTCCGTGTTTTTCCATGTGTCTGTTGAACATTTGCATTTTATCTTTTGAAAAGG